TGAAGCTAAAAATTACAGGTTAAAAGTGAGAAACCTCTAAAAAAAATTAAATTTTTCTATAGTTAATTACTCTTCTTGGTACATTTTTTATTTCGATAAACCAGTCCAATAACTTTTGCTCACAATCAGATTTGTAAAATTTAGATAACACCGATTTAAAATTCAATTTAAAAACTATATCCTTATTCACGAGTTTTTGGTTTGCAGCTAAAACTGAAATTGCGTTTGTAGAGATTTTCAGTTTCTCAAAACTTCAGGGCCCTCATGGAAACTGATATGGCTTTCAAATTATCCGTCTGTTTCAAAAGTTAGAAGGCTTGATTTCTTACTAATTATTTTAATCTCGTACTGAATCCAAACTTTAGAGGGAATTATTTTTGCCAGAGTATTTTTCAGAAAGTGAACGTTGAAGTTTTACTTTTCATGAAAATTATATTTCAAAGCCATCGAACATTTTCCCATCTTGATTGCGATTGGGATTGCCTTACAAAAGAGCACCCAGAAAATAATTTTCCAATGAAAACAATTACTTAATTTTGACTCCTTTCATTTTTGAAATTTTGTAGGAATTTTCGTGGAAATTATTTAACTCATTTTTGCTGATTCTTGTATAGTGATATATCGCATTTATCTCAGATGTTAAAACTTTTTTATTACTTTTTAGTTTTTTTAATTGTTTTATCGATTCAAGAGGTGCCTCTTGCCGAGTTAAATTGTTTTCCTCGAATAAAACGCTTATCAACTAATGATTCAATCCTTTCGCATCTCTTTCGAAACACTAATTAATTGGCAAAGCCCTCTCTATTTGTCTACGACCATTCAACAGCACTATCTCGCCAAATTATCGACCAATTAGTCCGCTACTGCGTCTCACATCAAAAAACACCGTCCACTTCGATAAGGCGAACAAACCCTCTTGATATTTTATCAAATAATACTTCCCTGCCTATATGTCATTTTTGACACAAAATTTTTGCAAACTGCAGTTTTTTATCACATGGTCAACACCAATCTGCCAAACGAAACATTTGCACTGGGATCTGCAAAATATTTCCAAGGATGAAAAGGCTCTTTCCCTGTTTACAGAGGATTAACTTGAGCATTAAGATGTGTTTTGATCTTGGATTGTGGGTGGCCGATAAGAACAATTAATTGCGCTTCTTGGCCAGTTTCACTTTGACGCTTCGAGCATCAACACCGCGTGAGCCTTCCAAACCTGCAGCCATTGATAAAAACCGTTGTTTTCTCGTAATCAGTCAAGAAGTGATAAATTTAAAATTAGACCGTCGCTCTACTTATTGTTAGTGGGATTGCAGCTGATGGCAAGGACAGAAAGAGTAAAACAGTTTTATCTGGAGAAAATAGGGCAGGTGCGCATTTTTTAGGTCCATATATGTCTATAATTTCAATTTATTTTTGAATTATGATTTTGTGAATTATTTTTAAATTTCTGTATTAAAAAATTCAAAGTTCATTCAAATCTTTCAAAAAAGAATAAGAAAACAAATACATTTTAATATTTATAGATTCGATTTGAATTTCAGTCCGAAATAATTTTAAAATTTAATTTTTCTGTTGCGCTCTGGTTTGATCAATAGAATCGGTGTGTTCTGCCATCAACTGCATTGCCCACAGTGTTATAAAGTGTTGGAACGGATTACCCGAAAAAACCAAGCAATCGTTCGGGAACATGGAGGTTCGGGCGATCGCAAACATGATTGCAAGTGCGGTGTATTTATCGCCAGTGGGGATCGGCGTTCGGCAGCCGCCGAGCATAAGAAAGAGTTGCAGCGCGACCTCCATTGAAAACCTCAACGTTATTAATGGCATCGTCCGCGACGGATGGATGCTGATAAGGCGGCCGCTCCACCTGTCCGGGTGCGTACATAGATCCGATCCACATACCACAAATCATTTATTTAATCATTTCGAGATACACCGAGAGTAGAAAAAGAAAAGAACAAGGCGTGCTGATTCATGGCGCTCGAAAATTCCATGACGCTTTGTTTTGCTAATGTTAGGCGAACCGCGGGGGGCAAATCAAAATAGTGCGGATTTCGAGTCGTAGTTTCCTTCGGCCAAGATTAAGTTAAAAATGTGGGCTTAATTGATTATTAGTAATAAGAGCTTATTTATAATCTTAAAACATAGTTGAATTTAATCCACCATGAAGAGGTTTGGTAGAAAAATCAATCATTTGGATATTTTTTTATAAAATATATTTTAGATATCTCTAAATTTCTAGTAAATAATAAGTCTGTTCACTTAATTTGTTTAGTCTCCATTAATTTCAGAAATGTAGTTCGTTCAAAGTAAGTTTCAAATGAATGGGTCCAAATTTAAATTAAAGTTTACTCTAAATTAAAAATGTAAAAAATTATGGAAAAACTGAGTAAAAAAAATGCAACTATAATTGTAAGTTGGAACAAACTCTTTTGCACAAATGACACATTGAAACGAAATTGCAGAGTTCCAAGACAATGTCAGTCCGAGCGTGAGTCTACAGGTGAGTGACCCGCCGATAGAAAGATGGCCATTAGAAGGGTGGTGCTGGCCCAAGTATGGGTGAACGCACCCGCCTGCCCGCTTTCCGCGCGAATTGGCTCTCGGGTGGGCGCTCGTGACAGAGCCAAGAGGTATTTATTGTCAGGGGGGTGTTCTGGGCTGGCCGCCGGCTCGGACGCACACACACACCTCACTGGGACCCACTCATTAGTGCAAACACGCCGACGCATTAATATCAGCCTCTCTAGCACATCATGCAACACCCACGCAAAATGGCTTCATCAAAATTTTGGAAAATTAATTCGATTAATTCATCAGTTCTTTTGCATAAGAGTTTGAAAACCTCATTCAAAGGGCCTGAAATTCTTAACGTATTAATTTTTCCATGCTTATTCAATCATTTCTGTATTTTCTGAATTATCGTGAGTGATTTTTGTTTTTTGATTAAATTAAAAGCTTTCATTTGTGTATAAAACATAAATAATATATAAAATTAATTTTTATTTTCTGAATGGTGATGATTATTTTTCAATATTTAAAAATTTACAAATAATTCTAAACTTCAGTAAATGTTACTAAAATGAATGAAAATTTCTCCAAATTATCCAAAACCAAAGTTGGAAAATCGATCATTGACCTCAATTAACACTTTTGTATTGGCAAGATAAATCACTTAATTTGATTCCGAATTGATTATAATTGTGTGTTGCAGTCAAAGGAAAAATGAAATTTCAGAGGTAAAAAGGGTTGAAAGAAACTTTTTTGTTTTGTCTTGGCTGAAATCTGGACAGTGGAGGGGTTTCATGCGTAATCACCCTCCATAGCTACAAATGTAGCAGAGCGTTTTTGTTTTCACTAAATGCAGTTCAATATTGCTTTCATTATCTGGGTTGCGGAGGCGATTTGTGTTTGGAAATTCGTCGGGCGAGCTCTGGGGGCTGCGGCGCGAGTCGAGTACACAGCATTTGAAGCGCGGGATCAATGCGCAGTGACGTCACTGGAGCCTCTTCTTCTTGATTGGTTTATTACGTCATACCTTGCTAACTGCCGGGCGCTGCTCAAAGGACGAACCAACTTTTGCACTCGTAAAAAAATCCCGTCCTTTTCACAGCGCCTTTCAAAAGAAAAGTCTCTCTTTTCCGACCAGCTTGCACAAAATTCAATCTAGATTAACTTTGAAAATGCCAAAAAGTGTAGAAGAGGAAAGTCCTCCGTTTTGCCTGACAGATGTTAAGTTATTATTTTTCCGCCAACCCGACTCTCAGTCAATTTATCGTGGATTAAATTTTCGCCGAAAATCAACATTTGCCTCCCTGGCGGCCGTCAAAGTCGATCCGATAAGCGAAAATTGAAGCGTCCCTCATCTAAGGTCACAATTTCCGTCGCAGGAAAAAAAGCGTGGAACACAATATATGTTTTATTTTTCCCGCCCAGTGTCAACGTGGATTAGCGAGACGCGTATAGGAAGAGAGGTGTCACGTCTAATCTGCACGAGATCGGATTTCAAACAAAATCCATCATGTTTAATCTGCAGATTCGCGATCGTTTTTTTTCTGCCACCACCTCGCCAGTTGCAGATTAGCAGCGTGATAGAAAAGGATTGCTTTGACAAAAGCGAGAACATGAGACGCATGAGAATCAGAAAGAGAGGAATGTAAGTAGGATCAGCTAATTTTAGCAATTGTAAATTGCAATAAAAAGTTAGAGGGGATTAGAAAAAGGATTATTATGCAATAAAAATCAAGTAAAATGATTTTTGATAGAATTTCACGATTGAGAGTTGATTCATAGTGCTTTGAAACTAAAATCGGCTTTCCTCCGTGGGTTTTGTGAGTTGTTAAATGTTTTTTCTTAAACAATTAACATGTATAAAAAACCATCTATAGGAAAAGTTGATTTTAAATTCAAATCACCATTAAATAATATTAATTCTAACTGTATGTTTTTTCGATGGTCCACCTTGTTCATTCCAACAAATGAATTTTAACCTCGTGATTTCACTGAATTTGGTGAAAACTCTGACAATGTGGTTCAATTATTGCCCTGAATCGCCCTTAAAATTTAAAATTAAAAATGTTTTTATTTTGACAGCATCAATAAAAATTGGTCTACTTTCATTTTCAGGAATATAGAACTTCGCCGTTGTGTTTTTTTAATCTAATAATCTTCGGCTTTTGATAAGAAGTGCAATTTTATCTATATAATATAACAAACTGAATTTATACGAATTGCACGAATTTAAAAATTATTAAATTTTCGTTATCGTTGCTGAAAACGGCTGCACTCTCATTACAACCAAGGGCGTGCGGATGCAAAGTGTGCAGAAATAAAAGGCTGCGTGTGTATTTATTTGCACAGACTAGGCGCAGGAAATTAAGCCGCCCGACGGTGGCCGCGCGAATCAAAGTCGAGGATCGCGGCGAGGTGCAGCACATGCGTACAAGCGCGGCTCTCCTACGCCGGCTTTGTTGTTGCAAAGCAACACATGCGAGACAAGTACAGCAGCCGGCCGAGTTAAGTCCTGGGCAAGGATAGTCCGTCGGCGCCGTCCGAGGGAATTAGTTTCGCCGCGTGTTGCTCCGCGTGAGAAGCCAACCCACGAGCCCAAAAGCGTCTTTGTGTCATTTCGGTGCGCGCACGTGACCGTTAATAGGTAATTTGCCTCGAAACCAACATACCGATCGTCACTTTTTGATTTACAGGCATGTCGAGTTTTTTAAACTGTTCGGAAAAGTTTTCATTTTGGCAAAGGTGGTTCAATTTTCAGAGTTATTTTGGTTAAAAATTCACCAAATTGATATGACAACAGTGCTTTGCATGAGGCGCCTACCGCGGGAGACGCACGTTTGTTTTGACGCAGGCATTACCTGTCACGCCACATGAATAAATTATACAGCCCCTATTTTCAAATCAATATTAACGAGCCTCCTAAACGTGAACAGCTGCAGAGCTCTCTTTTAGCCTCATTTAGTAAGGCCAAACTGTTTGTCACAAATCACAAGAGCTGACTGAGATTTAAAAATTCATAACAAAAACAAACTTGAGATATTGGTTAGAGATCACAAAATTTGAACTTTATAATTATTGTAATCTTTCTCATTTAAATATTTAGTAAAATTCATTTGGGTTTTTAAATGGTTTTTTTTCCTTTCCAGCTCTATTTTGGAATTTTAATTCTATTTATTTTCTAATTTAAAATTTCCTAGAAAATTTTAATAATCCTAATTAAATACATGTCAAATGATGACAAATAAGAAGTTCTATAAAAATGCAAAATATTTTCATAATATCCTCAAATCACTAAATTTTAAATGATCTGAAACAATCTAAAAAAAAAAAAAAAATGCAGAAAATTTAATTTCTTACCGAAATGGTAACATTAAAAAACGCCATAATTTCCTGGTCATGAAAGTTGAACCATTTAACCTATTTCGGACTTTTAAAAACACTATCATTACTGTTAAAATAATTCCAGACTGTGGATAAAAGTTGAAATTAATGCATTCCAACATCTTGAAATTCTGGACGGTTAGTAAAAAATTTGCCTTGCCTGTATCTTTAAAAAAGCCAAGAAATTTGGAATGGAAGTGTAAATCTCAGACAGGGCACGAAAATGACAAAGGACGCTTTTTGGCCCGTCCCGCCATGAACCATGGTGATCAGCGTGTTCGCCATTCTGTGGTACCTGGGCCGGCAGCTGCTGGTGGCGCCCCTGCGCCCCCGCGCCCCCTCCGTCTCAGGGGCAGCAGCCTCATCGCCCTCAGGCTTCCACGCGAGGGGTTGGGTTCGAACCTCGGCGGGTTCGGACGATTTGCTCACAAGACGCAGAACCTCCTCATGCTCCTCCTACATCAAACTGCAAAGGGTGCCGCGCAGGAGAACCTCCAGCCGAATCAAAGAAGGGTAACAAAAACACCGATCATTTTCGTTTTTAATTCTGAAAAAAAAAATGGAAATAATTTCCATTTAATATAAATTCGTATAAAAACTAATTCAAAACATTTTCTTTGTTGAATAAAAGTTTTGATCGAACTGAATGAAATTGGAATCTACTTCCCTAAGCGTTCAAGTTTATTTAGAAATAAAAGTCTGTTGCAAAAGGGGTGAAAATTTGTTTATCCCAATATTGACGTTGATTATAAAATTTTGTTATAGTTCATGTTTTTTTAAATATCACTTGTTTTTCTTTCAATTAAGATTGAATTAACAATCAACTTAATTTTATTGAAGATTGTTATAAAAATGGTTCAAAATATTTGAAATTTCGCTAATGCCTTTTAAAAGTGTTGCTTTTAACCCTTAAATTTGATAGAAGAATACATAATATTTTCCCCTCGTTTGGAGCAGACAAGTTAATGATTTTTTACGGCCAAGGTCGCGTATGATGAGGCGCTAATTACACACATGCGATTATCGCTCCAATCGATCAAAATTTAATAACCCGCAACATAAATAAACCTCCGCTTCCAATTTTGACCGATGCGACTTGGGCGTGCGATAAGATTGATGTGTGGGCCAGAAAATTGTTTCACGCGCCTCTCGGCCGGTTTGTTCGGCGGCGGCATATTAATTAAGTGGCCCACTTGGCGTGATTTGATAGATAAGCGGGTCTTCTTTTGCCACACACTTTTGTACGCTGCACAATTATTTGAAGAGACCGCTTCGATTTTCGTAGGAATTTCAAAAGGAATGTTGTGACAAATTCTTGAGGAATTTTCAGCAAATGAAGGCTTTGCTCTCCGCCCGCGGCAGTCACTTGCAAATACACGAGAAAATGTATATATTTTTACTCTCTTTAATGGAAACGTCGCCACGAGCCATTTAAAAATAATGTAGCTCTCGGATGCTGCAAGAGAGGCTCTTCTTTTATACATTTTCTGGCATCTCTCCGTGCGCTTTGCAGCTCAGTTGGAAACTTGCTTCCAAATTCGTGGGCTATTTTTAGCGGAAAGAGGACACTAATCTGTTTTGGGTCAACATCCAGATGCTCCATCACATCCTTCGAAGAAAAATTCTGGACATTCCAATAAAAAATACTGGATTTTCAGCTATTTTCTCACGTTTTTTATATTTCCATCATTAAAAAATTTGATTTTCTTTATTGGAATAACAATATAAGTTTAAATTTTAAACATAATTTATTCAATCTTGTACAAGTACGAGATATGCCCAACTATTATTGAATTAAAACCACATTTTGACTGAAAAAACAATCTCATTTTGAGGCGAAAAAATCAATTATTTTTTTGAATAAACAAACTACATAACTAAATATTTAAAACGTTCAAAGACAAAATAATAGTTGAGCCTTTGGCTTGGATAAATATAATACACGCACACAACAAATACAAATTATGTAAAATTCGGGAGTGAAAATGAAATTGTGATGTGAAAAATCGTTTGAATTAATTCATTACTTTTTTAGGTTGTTTTGTATTCTAGTTTGTTAAAAGTTCACATTAAAGTTTAATTTAACTAATTGATGCTTAAAGTATATATTTTTTTTTACTAAATAATGACGAATTGCAATGCAAGTTTTAAAAGGCTAAACCGATCAAGTGAAGAGTTGTTTTTAATTCGCTGCGGCGATTCGCCTTATTTGACTTAAGTGAATTCACTGCTTCTACTCTTCCCAAGGCTCCGCGTGTCGTCACTTTATAGTTATTTTAATTGGCTGCGTTGTTGTACTTTACGGCGTCTGTTCTTTTTTTATTTTGTTCTCCTATAACGTACCTTGCTTATTTAATTTCATCATTATTGGAGGTTGCTGTAAATCTGCATGTAATAAACGCTGGCTCGTAAAATAATTTGTTTATGGCTTTTTGATGATTTATCTGGCAATTATTTTCATTAGCCAAAATCTTTGTGCCTTTTTATTGCGCGGGTCGTTATCGTTGACGGGCCTGCTTGCGATTTGCACACGTTTCCCTTCAGACATACATCAAGATGCTCGAAATTTATGCGCTCATTATCGTACGAAAGTTGAAATTCGGTCAGACTTACATCTTGAAATTAGCCCGCATTCTCTGCACAACCCTTTAATTGAGTCGTAAATTTGAAAATCCTCAAAATAATTTCAGCATTAACTTCAACAGACGTAAAAAATTCAAGTACAAATACTTTGTATCCAATTAATTTTCTAAAAATGAAATAAAATTAATTTAATTAAATGCAAGATTTTCATTTAAATAATTTTGAGATTTGATGAATGAAATTATAAATGACACTCAGAACAAATCAAAGGAATGTTAAAAAACAATAAGAAATGTATCTGAAAGTTAATTTATGTAACAGTTCCACACAACCGCAGATGAAAATGTGTGCGGTTTTTATCAGAACACGAAATGGCCAGAGGCGCACCTGATTTTATGCTTTTGATGATGTGGACGGACGGATGGCCAAGTGTGTGAAAAGCGCGAGTTAGATTTCATTGTTTGAGGTGGGAGGAAGGCAGACGGAAAACCGGTCTTGTATTTTTTTGATGCATCATCTCGAACGCGAGTGCCCTGCTATAATTTAATATCGTGTGCGATTGTAATGGCAGACGAACCGCAGGCGAGCGAGCAATCCAGCGACCAACAGACCGACGCACCAATTGGTGTAATGACTCGCCAACATGACCGATTACATTTCAGTGTGACACTTTATTGGACACGCATTACCAGCGCAAAACACGGCTGGATTTTTTTCCCTGCCTGGTCCATCTCAAACAGCAACTCTCTCAAATCAATCAGAATGAAAATAAAAATGGAAATTAAAATTTAAACCATCATAAACAATAAAATGTAAGCTATGAAATTCAAATAACGACGTTTATTCTGATAATTTTACGATTCCATTAAACAATCTGCGGCGATTATTGCGAAGACACTGAACTACTGGTTAGTTGAAAATCAGTTGATTAATCCTGGTTTTTATGCAATTCTACGGTAGCAAAATTAACAAAAGTGGGCAAAATTGATAAAATCTACGGCTATTGAAAAGTGCGAAAGTCAAAAATCTAGTGGGCAGTGGCAAATCAGTTTGATTGAATATTGCGAATTCCACGAAAAATTAATTAATTCTTTTTAAAGACCTGGCTGGATTAATTAATCCTGGTTTTATGCTTTTCTACGGTAGCAAAATAACAAAAAGCGTAAGAGATTGAAAAAAACTGCGGTGAATGAGAAGATTGAATGACAAAAATCTAGTTGTGAGTTGCAAATCAGTTTGTTTGAATATTGTTTAATGCAAGTAAAATAAGTTAGTTCTTTTGAAAGACCAGGCTGGATTAATTAATCCTAGTTTAATACTTTTCAACGGTAGCAAAATAACAAAAAGAATGAGAGATTGAAAATAAAAATGCGGTTAATGGAAAGAGCAAACGAAAAAAATCTAGTGGGCAGTTGCAAATCAAATGATTTGAATCAGGGCAAATGCAAGAAAATTGAATTAATTCAAATAAGTTAACAGGGTGGTTTAGTTATAATTTATAATCAGAAAATCTAATATCCAATTTGAAATTCCTTAAAACAAGTTAATCATTTTTAATTAAAAAGAAAGATAAAAACTAAAATGATTTTACCAAAAACTTTTTTTTTGCTTTTAAGCATGTCTACATATTTTTTTTTTTTTTAATTAAGGCTTTTTGATAAATCGAAAACTATTTGATTAGGAAAAAAAAAATTCTTCATTGGAACACTTAAAAGAGGCCAAGGTAGACATAAAAATATCAAAATAATTATAATGATCAAAACAATTGTTGCATTTTAAAGCTCATTGCGCATAAATTTAAATTCCAACAATGGGTCGTTACACATGAACAGTGCTGCTCTTCAACAAAAGCAATTTAAACTCTCGATTGTTGGCGTTCTGAAGTTGTTGCGAAAATGTGCACTTGTTTCGCCGTGCTGTACTCAAAGACCGCGTCTCTGTTTGGTTGCAGTTTTGACGTTGAAAATGGTGCCTCCCCTGGACGCAGCCCGCTGGACGGAGCTTCTCCCTCGGCGGGTCTCGTCCTGCAGAACCTGCCCCAGCGGAGAGAGTCCTTCCTGTATCGCTCCGACTCAGACTTCGAGATGTCGCCCAAGTCCATGTCGCGGAACTCATCAATCGCCAGTGAGAGGTAAGCAATTTTTTTCCATCCAATTTTCTCTCCTGCTTGAGTGGGTTGTCGGCACCGAGCTCTAAATTGCTGGGTACGCGCGAATCGCCCTTTTTATGATAAACTACCTTTAATCATGGGTTTGTAAATCGCGCGAAATTGCGCCGCAATTTTTTTTCTATTGCAAAAGCGTGGATGGCACCTCTGATTCATCATTCAGGGTCACGTTTATATAAAAAGTTTTTATTTTTAAATATTTAATATGATTTAATAACAATAATAATTCGTGTTTGATTAACAGTGTCAAAAATAAATTTTGACAGAAAATAATTAAATTATTTTTTCGCGCACAGTCCATTTGGTAGGCAGCTGTTGGGGCACCCTGAGCACTTGGTGCCCTTTATGTAGGGCGTGTTGATTTGTCCCACGATGTTTCCCCTGCAAAAAGATAGTCAATTATAATATTTAAGTCGAGTTGTTCAAAAAATTTAAAGAGTATAGAAATCCAGGCAAATATTTATGAAACGATCGAAACGTTAACTACAAAATTTGACTTCTGAGTTTTCGGATTTCAATAAAAAGATGGTTGGCCCTTAGGAAATTGTTATTAACTATTGAATCCGTCATTTTGGTCAGAATTCACTTTTTCTTCTTCGAATCTTCACTCAAAACCTACCAGGATCAAAATTTTATAAATTAAATCACTTACGCAGGGCAGTAGTTGCAAATGTAGTTGAAGAAGATTCCCTTGGCGTCCGTGCACTTGGCCAGGCCGCAGCCCACTTTGTGCGTCTGGGCCCACACGACCTGTGTGTAGTGGCCGATCTCCTCAAACTTGTTGTCCGCCGAACCGAACGTGAATTTGGACACCTCCGAGTACCACGCTTTCACGGCCGCCTGCCTTTTTAACAAATTATTAGTAAATTAAAAATTATAATTTAATACAAAATAAATACCAGCCCATTGGCGCTGAGGAGATGAAAATGTTTTGGCCGCAGTTGCCAAACTTGCTGTCCACCCGGTTCGAACTGTCGTCGTGGGTCAGCCTTTTGCACTTGCTGGCCCAACTTTGGGCCGTCCTGCTTGCCGGTTCGTACCACGTCTGGAAGATATTTTTGCTGTTAACTATGTTTTAAATAATATTTGCTAAATTTAAAATAGCTTTTTTATGGAATCCTATAAAAAAAAAATTACTCTTACTTATTTCAGAAAATTGATTTTGGAGTTAAACATTTAATTTTCAAATTCCAAAAATCATTCAATTATTTTGATTTTATTTATTTAAATTTATTCTGTAACAAATGAATAATTGAACGAGCAACAACAAACCATGTTGAGCATGTTGGCTGCCTCGGGTTTCACGCCGGCCCTGTACGAATTGTGGCTGCGGACGATATCGAGTTTTGCCTTCAGCTTCAAACACGCGACGTCGGCGGCCGCACATAGCAAGATAAAAAGTGCAATTTTTGACAAACCGCCGCTAGTCCGCATGTTTTGCAACTGAAAATTTGTGCGCGAAATAAGAGCGTGGTATGTCGGCTGCGGAAACTGCATCACTACTTCCTGTCTACGATTTCACTAAAGCACGCGGGGATCGAGCGCGGTGACACAAAACTGGTTTATTTTTTTCATCAATTTATTCAAACACGTTCAAGCGATCAAAGTATACATTCAAACGCTGATCATTTTTGGGCGCAAAGTCCGTTCGAAAGACACGAGTTTGGGCACGCCGAGCACTTGGCGCCAGCTTTGTACGGCGTGTTGATTTTTCCCACAACGTTTCCACTTGAAAAGAAAAGGAATGAGGAATTGCAATGGAATGTTTAAAATCAAATGATTAAATGCATAAAAATTATAATTTTAAAACGAGGAATAAGTATTTTTTGGAGTTATTATTTTTGTGAAATTGAAAAATGATTGGAACTTACGCTGGGCAATAGTTGCACACGTAATTGTGGAAATATCCGGTGGAGTCTCGGCACTGAGCGTATCCGCAGCCGACTTTGTGACTTTGGGCCCAGACCACTTGCGTGTAGTGCCCGATTTCGGCGAAATTGTTCCTCGACGAGCCGTACTTGAACTTACTCACCTCCGAGTACCACGCTTTCACCGCCGTGCTCCTGCAATTATTTCGTGCTGACGGGGATAATTTTTAAATTTGCAAATTCGAGCGCTTACCACGGCAGTTGGCCCGACGAAACAAAAATGTTTTGCCCGCAGTGGCCGTACTTGCCGTCATTCATATTCTCGCTGTTGTCGTGGACGAGTTTCTTGCACTGGCTGGCCCATAGCTGTGCCGATTTTTCCGCATCAGGGTGCCAAGACTAAAATAAGAATTCGTTATAAATATTTGGATTTCTAATTTTTTTCCCCCAATTTAATTAAACTTCAAATATTTAAAAAAAAAAGCACAAACCATGCTGAGCATATCAGCAGCTGCAGGTTGAACATTGGCCCTGTAGTTGTTGTGATTGTTGACGATTTCTGATCTTTCCTCGTCTGTGAGGCCCAGAATCGGCGAAATGAACATAAAAAGGAAAATAGTTGCGATCTGCATTGTTGTTTCTTGCAAAGTGCCACGAAGAATGCGAGCAAGAAATCGAAAAGCAGCCCCGGAAAAGAGGACGTGCTATCGGCGGAAGTGCTTTTATTGCTGGTGAAATTTAAAATTTTTCAAAACAAAGGGGGTAGATAGCTTGAGTTGCCACGCATTTTATTGGAGTTGTGATGCGGAAAAGTCCCCAAGTCTCGAAAAGTGTTTTTATTACCTTTCTGACCTTAATTAGAAATAACTTCCGCTGAAAATGAAAAAAGAAATAAAAAAAATATGCCTGTTTTTTCCTTATTATTATCTTTTACAAAAATTTGGAAAAGTCTCCAGAATAAGAAAGAATGATTGTTTTAACCGGTTTCAACCGCGTCATTTTACCACTTTATTTTCACGGCCATCCTCCGAGCGAAACGCAGCTTGATAAAATGCAGTTTTGTGCGTCACGTGAGACTTTGAGAGACATAATAATCGGCGCGGCGCCTTTTCCAGCGCAAGCCAAACAAACACGAGGCTCAAGCTGCTGAATTTGGTCAACGCCCTTCGACGTGCTTTGTTTGCCTCATTTTCTTTCTTTGTAGTGCTCGACCAGAATAACGCACAATTAGCGATTAAGAAAAAAATAATGGAATAATATTTCATGTTGGTAGCGAGCACGGTCACGACTGAAAAATTCCTTCAATTTTTTTCTTCTTTTAAATGAAATTAAATGGAATTGGGCCACATTGCATTGGTTTTCATTTGGCGCGCAGGTTTGTTTTACAATGCAGGTCGGACTTAATTTTATGAGTGTGCTCATTAAACACCAACTAATTATCTCACCTGCCCTTAGGACGAGCAGCCAGTTTGAGTCGAGCACTGGCGTGCCGCTCCCAATGAATACAAATTGCGCCCCAAAGGCTGAATTAACAGTTGCAATGGTCAACGTGATTCATTTGTTGCGTTAATTTGTAATGTCAAATTAAAAAAGGTAATCAAATTTTAAATTCATTGAAGATTTGAAAAAAATTGACATATTTATTATTTGGCCAGTAATTAAAATAATTTATAGCAGAAGCTCAGGTGCTTTGGTCGAAAATAATAATGCCATTGTACGCCCGGCCCAGGTAATAATTAATTATTGTGTTGCTTTTCCACTCATGAATTAAATTCCCAAATCCGCTGCTCGCTTGTGCAAAAAACACGCGACAAAAGAGGGGAAAGTTAAGCACTTTTCCGGCGATTTCGGCACATCTGCAGGGAGCGCGAATCCTCCCGAGGCCTGTTAGTTTGGCGCCGCCTAATTTGTGTTTGCGGCCTACCGAAAAATGAATTTCACAACAGGTGTCCCGGCCGGGCCGTGCAGCTGCAAAGGTCGCCGCCGGTTGCCGCGTTCGCCCACCAGGCGGCTCTCGCGCGTGGAGCACCGACTGAGCACCGTCGCGTCCGCTTGTGCCGCCAAAGCACAGAGGTCCCTGCCTGCTCTGCAAACGGGCCTTCCTAGCAACTGCAATTCTTGAGCCAAACCATCATTTCATTAAATCTTCAACCAAAAGTAAAAAAAAGTTTTAGTTCACTGTTTCATTTTGGTGCTCATTTCAGCGCATTTGTTTAATTTACATTTTAAACCGGTGAAAATATCTACTTTTTTTCAAAATAAAGTGACTCACTATCATGCCAAATTTTAATTACAATATTCCCAGATAATAAAATGATAAAAATAAAAGTTTTGCAAGTCACTTTTTTCAAATTCTATTTTGTTTTTGCTTATTTACGCTTTTAGGGCACGGATATTTACTGATATCATTGACAGATAATTTGAAAGTTTGCCAGAGTTTATAACCAAATTTGTCATATATTATGTTTGAAAGAGTAAAATAATTTCAATTCCGATTTATTTTAAAATTTTTAAGCCGTTCTGATTGCATTCAATTCAAATTCATGCCTTTTAACCGTCTCTAGACAGAGATTTTAACCAAATGGGATATTTTTTTTTCTTATTTTTGTATTTTCTTTCTTTCCTTATATCTAAATCGTTGCTATTTTTTTCACTTTAAGAATCGGCTAAAAACGCGCGACGCTCACTTCTGACTGTTGACAAAGACGAGCTTGGAAACAAGAATCGCACAAAATATAATTGGATTTGCAAACAAAAGAGACAAAATGTTTTGAAAGCTGCCGCCGGATTTGCAATTATTTCGTCCGTGGAAGGGGAGCTTCTTAGGAAGACTCAAAAAGCAGGAAAGCCGTGTATATGTTTTTTACTTCTTCTTCTCTAAACAGCAGCCGAACATAAAAAACGTCGGAAAAGAAATTCGGATCCGAGAGTAAATGGGCTGCAAACGGCGGTGACTCTTTTTGTGTAATTGTGTTGTTTCAAGGCACGCGACACATCTTTCTTTTTTTGCTGCTCCGTCGAGTCGGCGGGCAAAACAAACACGAGAGAGATCGGCTGCGCGATTTTCCGCTTGCTTTTCTCATCTCGTCCGCCCAGGGGACGTCTCGGCGCGCGCGGTCGGATGTTTTTATTAAATCTCGGCCCCTGCATTGCAAATACCTTCAGCGTTTATTGATTTTCCCGCTCTCTTTTTGCAACGACGTCATTTATGCTTACATTTGACGTCACCTGGCGGCTGCACGTGGCGCCAAATGATGTCACACCGGGCCATGCACCCCGACAGACCGAATTAGCCCAGCCGAATTCCGCTCAGGCAACCCGCATGGAGCGCATGAGCTGCCGGTTGCATACGTGCCACCTTTCGCGCTCCCCCGCCGGCGTCTGGAATTCCGCAGCAAAAAATGACATCTCAAAAAATATCGGATAAATCAGACAATCTTCATGCACATTCCAATTTACTTCAATATAGGCGGAAATAATTTAATAAAACTCGATTGAAAGTTGACAAAAGTTTGATTGAATAATCATAATTCCATTTCTATTGGTATGATTTTTTATTCTTAAACAATGAAAAGATAACTTGATTAATAATAACAAGAATTATTCAGTTAAATCAGATATCACAACTTATTTCTTATTTTCTATTTTACTTAAACTTTTTGTAAATTTCATTAATAGTCAATAGTCATAAAGGCGCCCTTTTCAATTCAATTCAATTTATTTTTCTCCAAACAAGTTATTTACTAAACAAAATCTAAATTTCCAAATTGTTTAAACAAATGCATTATTACCAGATCCTTTTGTAATACAAATTACTAAAATTATGGGAAACGCACAAGGAACAACAATTTTGATCCTGGGTAGAGAATCAAAGAAGGTTGGAAAATTTTTTTTTCTTGCCGAATTCTGAAAAACAACAACTTTTTTTTCATCAAATTTTAAACTATTTTTCAAAGTTAAATTTACAATTCACATGAAATCGGCTGCTTTTTGTATTAAATTTAATTTTTAAAATTAGGAAAACATAAATTAATTCTGTCAAAACAGATCAACTTGTTTCACCACATTAATTAGTGTTTTTCGTTTAAATTTATCATTTCAGCGCTTGTTTTTCAATCACGAGCTATTTAGGAGTTTTTAAATAAAAAGTTTCAAAATCCGTGCTAATCAAAAACACCATCCATCATTTGAATCCGGGCTGTGGTATCGTTTTTGAAAGGGGAAACAACGGTAAGCCTCTCTCTCTCTCGTCCATCAGCAAATTGCAAAAACACGCACATGATTCGTGACAGCGAGAGAGCGCCGGTGGGACTCTCCCGGGCGAGTGGAGGGTGGCGGTGCGGTTGGGTGGGTGGGTGGGTGGAGGCCTCCCCTTGCTTCATTGATCCTCAGCAGCACCTCATCTCAAACGCCGCGCTCACTGCATTATTTTTCCTCTTAAAGAGATGCGCGAAGAAACAGATAGACAGACAGGCCGGCCGATGCAATCGGAACGCCCGTCAAACTCGTGCTTTTCCTTCCGCCGGGTTGAGTAAAAATAATAATAAAAAACGCGTTCAATCTGAGGTGCCATCCGTCTGACTGGCGCGTAATGATCTTTCTGCTCCAGCTACCTGCGAGAGTGAGCGACATTTGTATCGTGCGTAATTTATGGATCGCTCGCTCTCAGCTGACGACGCAAGAGGAAGAGAGAAAAGGGCCTGGCGCGCAAAGCACAGATTTGCTCAAGTGCAGAGGCTCCCGTTTTTAAAGCGAATCGTCTCATGCAACCGAATTAATCCCATCTCTTGAATATCAAAAGAGCGAAAACATTGATTTTTTTTTTTTAATATTAAAAAATTGTGCTTATTATTTTGAGCATAAATTACAAAATCTTTAGTGCATTTAAAAGAATTGTCTTTAATCGTGGTTATTTAAATTAAAAATCAGCTTTTCCTCGAAGGGCTTTTGTGAGTTTTTTATTGTTTAAGAAAAAATCTTTAATCGATTTTCCCGCCAAAGTGGCCTAAACTTTGGAATACAAGGGTAGTTGAGTCATCATTTGCAACTAATAAAAAATGTAGCCAAAAGGGGACTGGCTCTATGACTGATGAGAAAACACGAGCAGCAGAAACTCTTGAGAGCCAAATGACTTTTGAATTTTGCGTTTTTTTTTATATTAAACGATAAAACATTGACTAGAGATCCCCTTGGGCGCCGCCTTGGTTCTTGTCTTCGAATCGATACTGCCTTTTTGCTCATTGTACTTCCTTCAAAAGGAAACGAACCAGGAAAGGAGAAAGGAAAAGTTTTGAACCGAATATTTCGCGAGCCCAGCAGGGGACCAGAATTCCTTATTAAGGCTTCTTTGCCCAGAGAGAGTTGGAAGGTTCCTAATTAATTGAATACCCGCGGAAAAGGCACAATATTGAATTTAGATTAGCCCTTGATGAATACAAAAAGACTGATGGAGGTTGGTGTGTTTGCAGATATAAGGAGACTGAAGTTGCAGATCGGTCGTATGTATTTTTACCAGCTCTCTGTATCTTTGCGTGATTTTAGAGTGCAGCACCATTTTGATTTGCTCTGCTTAATTTTTATCTCACTTTCTCACGCGTCCTTGTAAATACATCTCGCCGTTTATAGCTAATGCAGTTGTAGATCAGCAGCGATTCTAATTTTTGGTTGTTTTCTTTAGCTGTTTTTTGCGGCACGATATTTCTCTTTTAATCTTGCATGGTGTGAAATTTGTGTTGTTTGCCGTATTTTCCACTCTTATTTCAATTTATTGTTTAATTAAAACAAATTCTAGATTTATATCATTTGCTGGTTGCTGGTGTTGCGCGACCGTCAGCATTGTCCAAATATAAACAATGAATAAGACGCCACTGGCGACTGTGCTGCGGTCAGAATTACGAGAGAGAGCAGCAGCTTTTGCGTCATCTTTCTACAAACAAACAGTACGTTAAGCTCAAAAATAGACACGATCTATACAGACCGAAAGTTGGCCGGCAATATTCGTCCGCGATATTTATGGAAATTTATTCGCCGAGAGCGAGCAAGACGCGGTTGATTAACAGGCTGGCTGCTGCACCTGATCGATTTCGGCCGCGCAGCAAATTCAATCCGGATAAGGGTGTGAAAACAGTTTCCGACCATAGAATCGCCACCGCTCGCTACCAGGTAGCAATAAAAGAAATGGCGGCACTTGGATAAATTGCGAGCGCGTCTCTTTCTCTGTGTTATAATAATATTGAAAGCCTCGCCCACCTCCCGTTCTTCGCTCAGCCCTTGAGAGCGCGCGACGCAAAAAGGTCCTTGTCGGAGAGCCGCACACGACTTTCCTCCTCCATTCATGCCGAAATACGAGATAGGGCACACACACTCACTCACCCCCCTCCAGCCGAGCTTGCATCGTTTTCCTGCGAAAGGTGAACCTGCTAATGCAACCGCCAGCCCTTCTCAAGTGGCAAATTAAGAAATATTGCTTTTCCGCCTCCGCGCTCCATTCCACGCCTCTTTCCGCGACGCCCCAGTTGATTTTAAGGCTTAAAGTCGCACTCCAGTCATGATTGTTATTCAAAAGTCAACGAAATGCCACGACAGAGGGTTGGAAAGTTCGCACCCTGCAAAATTTCCCGCAGTAATTATTATAGAAAGCTCACACTCAAGATGGATGTCATGAAAAATTAAAACCAGGCGAATAGTTTTGAAGAAAAAATTGGAAAATTAAAAGGACAACTGACACCGAAGGCAACCTATATAGTCTGCTGGTTCTTCAAAAATCTAGGGATTTATTGTTTCAAACTAAAACTAAGTAGGAGGGATTTATAAAAAAAAAAAAAGATATTTTATGGTGATTAGAATTTAAAATCGCCTTTTCCTCGACGGGTTTTGCCGGGTTTTGCGAGTTGTTTATTTTTTAAGAAAAAACAATATAATATCCTCTCTATATGTGTTTCGACTGCGGGCTGCAGCCATAAATTTATGAGCTGTGAAATCATTTTAAAAAGAATTAGTACAAAAATAAATTTTAAAAAAATCTTTAAAGATAGCGATTTTTTGCGGAAAATTTTAGTTCCATTTATACACAAAACAATTTTTTGACAAACATTTGACGATTCAATGAATTTTTTAAACAAATTCATTTTAGAATAATTGGTTAGAATAATATTGAAAATTGAAACGTGTGTTTTGAGTGTACCTTTCTCGGCGGTGGTGGAGAGAAGACTCTAATTTAGAGACTTTAATTTAATAAATAAATAAAAAAAAATCGCTTTTTCTATGTAACAAGGTTCACCTGGTTTCAGTAAAATTATAATAATAATATTTTACCTTGGGCATCACTTTTTAATCAATTAATCACCTTTTTCATGCATTTTAAAGTGATACAATTCTGATACCACACTGTTTTTTCTCGCCCAACGGATTTAGGAGTTTCCAGGAAGTGATTGTCTTGGCTGGAAGCGGTCACGTGCTCATTTGGTTCAAATTAAATTATTCTGTAAGAACAACAAAAGCACGTGATCGCCTCCAGACAATGTAATTGATGACTTACCTACAGGTTCAAATTTCTTTAGGCGGGAAAAAGCAATCGCGATTTGGCAAATTGAAATAATTCAACTTCAACTCAGATTCTCAGTGATGCAAATGAAGTACCCTCGGTCGACTTTATATTTATTTTTCCACTTCGCTTCGTGGGCGGTAATTGCACAATAATTCACAGCTTAACAAGCGTTGTGCGGAGCTTCTAATTATCCTGCGCTCTCTTTCATTACGCGAAGGCCACTTACGCAAAACTTTTTGTTATTTTCATCAAGGCCCGAGGGGGAAATCAAACAAGAGTGAGAGAGAGAGATTCTATGCGCCGAAAACTTTTTTCTAATTATCAAGGCCGGCGACCGAGAGCAAAAAAGGAGCGATTACGCTTGTGCTGCGTTATTTGCCGAGCTCGTAAATCACGCGCGCAGAGAGGCTCGTCCCTAATTTTTGCGCGTAAGCCCACTCGAAGAAGTGGCCGCGGCGAATTCCACATACACAGAGCTGGGAAGAAGAACATTTCTTCTTGCTCTGACAATGTGAGTGCGCAACGTGAGTCTAAGCATGCGCGCAGCGGCGGCTGTGGCGGCCGCGGCGCCTCGGCGGTGCACAGTCGGTGTGCAAAGGGACGTCGATGCGGATTGCGGCCCGAAACTGGCGCGGAACAGTCTGACCCGCAGCGGCCTCACCATCTCGTCGTCGCCCTCGCTGCTCACCTTCGCCGGCGGCATGTCCGACAACGACGACGACGACGCCTCCTCGGACGCGTCCGAGGGCCGCCTCCTCGGCGGCCCCCTCTCCGCCTCCTCTGAGCTGCCCACGACGGCCGGATCGCCGACCGACGACGCCCCCGGCGGCGCCGGCGGCGCCCGCCGCAGCAGCCGCGACAAACTGCCCCGCACCCTCAGCACCAGCGTCCTCCGCATCAAGCACCGCTCCACCTTTTGGGACAAGGTGTGGGAGCAACGCTCCTCCACCCGCGACTCACGAACGTAAGCCTCCTTAGTTCCCCCTTAATTATTCAGCTGAAGGTTCAGCCTTAATCGAATAGTAAACACTGGCTCTGATAAATATTTACAACTTCCAAAGGGCCAGTCGTTTTTGGATTGTAAACAACAAAAAACTGCTTTTAACACATCATTGCTGCCATTTTAAATCAGTTGATTATTGATTTTTTGACAAATCGTGGCTATTTGTTCAAAAACGGGGTCATTTTTGCTGCAATTATGATACGCAATCTCAGATGTGACCTCAAAAATGGATTTGCTGGGTCAAAATACAGTTACTTGCGTTTGTTGATTTTAAAAAAAAAATACTAAAATTTGAACATGGTGAACTTGCAAATCTTAACGTCAGTTAATTTTTTCAAGCAAAATTGTTATTTTAACTTTTATTGATTTTTTTAAATTATTTTATAATCTGTAACTTCAAATTGCAAAATTATAGATCATAAATTTTTATTCTAAAAATTTTGCTAAAATGAATGTTTGGCAAAATTAAAACTTGATTTTAAATTTACAATTCAATTTCAATTTATTTTAGAGCTACTAAGCAAAATATAGGCACTAAAATTTTAAAAATCTTAATATTATTAAGTATTAAACTCTGACGAGCATCACAAATGAAAATTAACTTGACTAGAATTTGCAAGTCTATTAATTACTCTGCGGATTGGCTCGCGAATTTCTCATGAAAACATTTTGGCACTAGAGTTTCGTGATTTTAAGCTGCCACAAACTATTAATCATTGTGGCTGGGGAGCGTATTGACGGATGCGCCGCCGGGTCATCGAGCCAACATCGTTTTTTACCAAGTAAGCCGCACGCGAGCAAATTTTTTCGCCAAATCCAATATCACTGCGGGCGCCGAGCACATCATCATTGATCAGCATTAAAGAGCTCTTTGTTAGGGGTGGGGGGGGGGGGGGTAAATTTTGACTATTTGAGGGAAAACTCATTTCCATGACAATATAATTCCGAGTAGGAAAACGCTTCCGCTTTTGCGTGATCTGCCAAGTTTCATTTCCATGCCGGTCGGGCGAAAATATGTCGGCGAGTGTTGCCGGCGATTTGCAAACGAATCTCGCATTCCGCCCACGAAAACTGGACGGACGCTGCCGGCGGCATACGTGATGTTTTGGGTCGGTCGGGCCAGTACCCCTTTAAGAGGGATTATTATTGTGAATGCATTGTCGCATTCCTGCGGCGGCCGCACTCGATTTAGCCGCGCCGAAATAGAAATGGAACGGAGGACCGGCTGGGCGCTTTTATTCCCCACCTTGGCCATCACTCTGCGCTATTGAGGAATAACAAGCTGCGGTCATAAACTTCTAGACTTCTTCTGTGTACGCAAGCACAAAAGGCGAGAATGTTAATAGGAAAGTCGCAAAGAATTTCTCAAATTAATCAAAGAAACCTATATTTAAACTCGTAATAAAATTTAAAGATTAGAAAGTTGTTAGTTTTTTTATGTATTTGTTGGCACTTTTAATTATTTTAAATTAATTTAAGTTAATCATTTCAATAAACAAGTATTTGAAACGAGTGAATTTAAAATTATTTTTATTTAAATCTTGTTTTTTTTTAAAATTATTTTCATTTTAATTATTTTTAGAGTTTAAATTTATTACAAATTAAAAATAAATTATAGATTGTCCCGTGGTCATATTTAAAAGAAATTCAGATTTTGCAAATTGTCTGAAAACTAAAATAAATAATATGCATGGAACGCCTGCTCAAAGGAATTACTCTTTTATAATATCAAAGAGAGCAGTGTTCGCCAAGATTTGGAGTTAATGCAATCAGCAACAATTTAATTGGAGTGTCGCTTTTAGTCCTCCTCCGTCCCACGCGTCGGAAACCCAAAATGCACCTCGTCTGCTCTCCCGTTGGATTTGCTCGCGAGAACGGCTTCTTTCTCGCGCACACATTTCAATTTTGAAAAGGTCAAAGGCGCAAACCGAAACGGAAATGTCAACTTG